TTTCCTTGCCATTCCGGCTAACAGCCACTGGGAGGCTGCTTGATGGTGGGCAGGTTGAGCATCTCTTCTTTTCCCCCCTCTCATTGCCACCTCCTCCCCACAGGAGCAGTGATGGAAAAGTGACTTGCTGCAGAGATAATGCTGGGTTTGAAACGAATTTCTGACTAGCTGAGCCAGCACCTGTGTGAGCTGCAGCTGATTAGCTCCAAGCATTCAGGTCCCAATCACTCATAACGGAGCCAGGCAATCATACCAGCCTCCACAAGATGAAGACAGGGTGGAGGCAACATCTCTAAAAAGCATCTTGAAGGCAAAGGGAAAATACTACTCACGTTTGTGGTTTTCGTTTCTGTGGACAGGGGAAGAGAGGGTCTCCTGCTCGCGGGCTTCATCACCCTCTTCACTGGCGAGGTGGGTGTGAGCATAGTGGTAGCTCAGCCCAGGCCTGTTCTTGTAACGCTTGCCACAGACTAGGAGGAAAGGAAATAGGAGGGAGGGGAAGAGAGAATGGAAACATCAGTATGATCTGCAACAATGGCAGCATCCTCTCCAGTAACGCTCCCTTTCCCCCTGAGAGCAGCACCACATGCCTGCCCAAAACTGTTCCAGCCGACGTTGGTGAAAGGTGACAGAAGGGCAGCCCTGCAACCGCAGGTCCCTAGACAGGTTTTCTTCCAACCATGCTGCCAGCAGTCCTTCCCACAGGCCTAGGCAAATGCATATTCACAGTCTCTGCAGCTCGTACAGCCCTGATCCTCTCTCTTAAGTTTACTAACAAGGTGGCACATAAAATTAATGAAATGCCAGTTTCAATGTTGGTGCTGCGCAATGGAAACTGGACTGAGAAGAAAGGACATTATTTTCTTCATTACTGATCTCTGAAAAAAATAAAAAGTTGTTTGGTTTTTTTTAAGAAAAAAAATTTTCTGTAAAAGGGTAATAAATAGCTTTATTTGCAGATTCCTAGTCAAGACAAGGAGATGGAAATCATCCACAGTTTCTTGCTAGAAGAACACGTAAGTGATACTTATTTGCCCAAGTAAACTTCATATTCAGCATCCAAATAAATAATACAATGAGTGACAGACAACCTTCCTTCTGAACTTTTGTTTATTTTAGGACTAAGTCAACAGGTATTAAGAACAGGATCAAATAATTCAGACTAATGAAAAATCTACATTTTCACAGGGAACTCACCACAAGGGTAAGTTTCATCATAAGATTCATTACACACAAATTCAGCTTCTATACATTTTTAAATTCATGTTATTGTCTCTAAAAGTTCTCTCTTTTCATCTTCAAAGTAGTCTCTGAATGTCCATTTTCTTTTATACAGCTGTTTCATCTACCAAATACAACTACTGCCATTTTAAAAAATTAGGAAACAAAGGCAAAGAAGCTTCGTGCCCTTCCTGCAAGTTTTTACTTGCAGCCACATTTTCAGTTGCTTTATTAGCTTCATTAACCCCAAGGATCTCACACAGGAATAAATGTCATGCCCAGTAGTCTGCCCTGCATAGCTTGCTTAGGAAGGCAAAGGAAGTAGTGCCAGAAGAGAGAACAGAACCCAGCAGTCTCTAGTTCTGTCTTGTTTTCAGACCCCTTGAAAAAAATCTCCAAGGAGGAAGTCACCATCCACTCCTAAAAACTTCGATCAGCCCTGAAACTGAAAATGTAACCTGCAATGTATATAGATACTTAGTTCCCATGCACAAGACAGCTGACTCTGGGAACATCATAAGGCTCCATAAATTAAAAAAAAAAAAAAAAAAAAAAAAAAAAAGACTTGCCCAATTATTCATTTACATATAAGTAAAACTTCCATTATTATACTTTTCTGCTACTACTCACAAAAAAACCCTTCTGATGGTCCACATTCTGGAACAGATGCTAGAAAACTGTAAATCAAAGCCTAGCATTATAACATATTTCATTCTCCATCTCTTCTAGCTGATTTGCAAACTCCCTCAGGGAAAATACTTTGCCTTATTAGAAACATGTAAAACAACCTCATTATATGAGTAAAGTGAGTGATCCGGAATATTAGATACTTTTATCCAGTTTTCTCCATTCTGCAAGGTGTGATCACACAGTCATCGTAACAGGACAAAAGCTTTCTCCAAATAAAATGCGTCCCTAGCCACAGACTATTTAAGTCTTGGAATGACCTTGATTTACAAGTGATAACTTCTGCAGGAAGGAGGGGAAAAAGCTGGGGAGAAATAAAATGCTCAGATACATATGCAAATCCATTCATTGAAGCATCTACCATCGTTTCATATGTAAACCTAACTCTATTGCCAGACATTTTGAACAACTAGACTGTTCTTAGAGGCATGGTCTCCACAAAACATTATTTCAATCTCCCTTCTTCTAGTAACAGCCATGTACTCTTCCAACGCATTCTGGAGAGGGAAACTAATCCTCTGCCTCTGCAGTCCTACAGAGGAAAGGACAAGCATTGGAACAGATGCTGACAGAGAGTCAAACAACAAGATACCCACAGTTCTGTAAGAGTTTGTTTCCACTTTTTGAATACAGGAAAAAAAAGTGTAACATAACTAATCATCATACACAAATGTTACAGCATTTCCTAGAATGGAGAGATTTAAATTTCTAGTAGATTATTTGAGTATCATACGAAGTATCCTACTCTATCCCCCTTACTTGTGTGCATTTGAAGGTGAAAGTTTTAAAAAAACCATTCTTCTGCTATGAACAACTGAGACTGCTCAAAAACTTCTACCTACTTAAATTATATTTTCAGAGCTTTATCAGGTGATCAGTGCTCTACTGACAAAGGGGGGGGCACTTGGAGTTAACAGCTGCATGATACATTCTATCCAGCTCTATCTTGCTCTTACACAGCTTGATCCTGCGTTGATGCTAACCTAGAGGCAAAAATCAGATAAGCTCTAAAACCCAGTCCCATTTACCTATTAGAGGGAGTTTTAAATTTCAAACAAAAAATATTTCTAGAAATTCTACCAGACTTCATTCAGCTCTACCTGAAAACATACCCACAATTCTAGCTTTACTGCTGTTACCTTACAAAAGCACCATCTCCTTGAACATAGGTCTTGCGCATCGTTCTCCCTCTGCACAAAAGGAAACCTGTGTTCCCTGCAGGAAGTCCAAGGGCTGTGGCCTTGACTGCCCTACAGGATCCTGCAGGGATTTTAGCTGTGGAGTTTAGGATGGCATAGGAAATCAGATGGGTCTGCAGACATGCCCTTCTCCAGCAAAAAAAGTGTCAGCTCACCAGGAAAAAACAGCAAGTAACAATATAAGCTGAGGCAGTAGTAATTCTGCAGCTGAGAATTACTACTGCCAAAACTTTCAGATGGCCTTCAAGGGTGGCAGGAAGCTGCAACATGCCTAGCTAAAAAGGAATTTGGAGGATTTTATAACCAGAGCTGAGGCAAAGGGGTTCTGTTTACACGGTCCCATCAGATCCTTTGTAGAACCAAAGATTTGCAGCTTCCAGCAGCTTTTTTTCTTGGTGTGTAGACTTCTATGCCTTTCATGTTCTGTCATGGAAAAAGTCTGAAGCGATGCCATGAGTTGAAACTGCACAGATTTCTTATTCCCCAAGCAAATTAGACTTTTGCAGGGGAAAAAGGGTATCATGATATTAGTCAGGCAAAAGAACCATTGGCTTCAGTGAGGTTTTGCTAGAATAAAAGCCAAGTCAGAACTTCATGGTTTCTCCAACAGATTGAATCTTCCTGAATTCACCCTAATCTCTTATTTTCCAGATAGAGCACCTTTTATTAATCTATCATATCACTGTGCTAAGAAGTAGTTTCTATAAAAGGATGATCATTAATAAGCACTTAGCTCTTGTATAACTCTTAGCACAGCAAGACTGGTTTTTAAAACATTAATTAATCTTTCTCCACATTTCTGAGTGGGAAGTACTCTTCTCATTTCACTTTGGAAAAAAGAGAACCACAGAGCGGTTAAGTGACTTGCCCACACAGTGATCTTTGTCATTACCAGGACTGGAATCCATGAGTTCCAGCACCCAGACCAGTGCTCACACCACATCTTTGCCATTCTCCAAGCTGACAAAAGCATAACGAGAACTGGTTCTCCCAGTCTGAAATGTATGCTGGTGATTAGTTCTTAACACTATGCAGCTCACATATAGCAAGTGAGAGTGCACCTTTCATAAACTTTGCCAGGTGGTCTTGCCTTTCTCTCAGCAACTTTTACTTTTTTTATCTTTAATTTTCCTTGCTGGTTAGGCTCATCATCCTTGCATGTGGTAGATTTCATCCTGAATCTCAACACTGGGAAGTTGACTTGATCTTTAATCAGGTAGCCAAGCCCAATGAAAACAGCGGGAGCTTGTAGAATGTAACCCACTCCAATTCCTCCTGCATTCAAAGGATGTTATTTTGCTATAACCTGATTGAATGCCATCTTAGGAACAAGCTGGATAAGTAAGTAGTAATTCAGCAGTGCAGATCAAATGCCACAAATGGGGAAGAGGGAGAGATTTTATTAAGCCACCAGACACTCTCCTATGATAAACCTTAATTTCCTTCCAGTTTGAAGACTGAAATGAAGATGTTCCACAACTGTGTTATGGGGGAAAAACATAATTTGCAGACAATTTAATCACAAGTATTGAGAGTTTTATAGCAGAGAGCTGTGTTTTAAGTTCTGGCCTGTAACAGCCTGCAACTCTTTGGCTAAGCAAATTCTCACTCTGTTTATTTTTCTCAATGAGTAAAATTAATATAAAATACTTCCCCTGCTTTAAAAGGGGATTTGAAATCTATGACTTAAAAGACTTCCTTGTCAAATATTTAATGGTTATGTTGCTGTCATTTTGAAATTGTTACACATTTGGTCCTTGGCAAGCTGTGAGCTATGTTCCGGCCAGTTCTCCACATACATTTTGCACAATCTGTTACCAGTATGAGACAGAAGGAAACAATCCATATTTTTCATAGAAACAGGAAACTGGGGCAGTACATGCTTTGCTGCTTTTTTTTTTTTTGTCACTGAATCTTGCCCCCCTTATTGTCTTTCCTTGCTTTTCTCCTTTGCCTCCTGTTCTTTCTTCTCAGCTGGGCTCTGTCAAACTCTAAATCTTAAGTTAACTGCTGGCAGGCAGTCATTCCTCAAAGTTATCTTCCTGTCCTACTATTTACTCCACTCAAAAAAACTCCATTCTTTATTGTGCACTGTTTTGGTAATATAGTCTCCTCTGTTACAGTTATGTCCATGCTCTGGCACATCCAGAGATCTCGAATGCTAACCAGTGTATTTTGACCTCCACTGGTGGAAAGGGATTACGTCTGTCCTTTTTTGATCGGTACTGTCATGTTATACACCTCTAGTATTAGAACAGGTATTTAGTAACCCATTTCATAGGGGATTTTCTGTAGGTAGTAAATAGTCCTTGTTTCAGTGACCCCAGAGAACAAGTCCCAGAATCTACCAGCTGTATTAAGAT